CAGGCATGCGCCGCCACGCCCAGCTAATTTTATTTATTTTTTTATATATGTGTGTGTGTCCAGCTAATTTCTTTCTACTTTTAGTGGAGACGGGGTCTTGGTCAGGCTGGTTTCGAATTCCTGACCTTGAGCGATCCTCCTGCCTCGGCCTCCCAGAGTGGTAGGATTACAGGCGTGAGCCACCGTGCCCTGCCAGGGTCGTCGTCCTTAACAGTAGGGAGGAAGGAAAGAGAGGGTCCGTGTGGAAATGGGGACAGCAAGCGGAGCCTGGAGGAGATCCAGGTGCTCAGGTACAAATACCTGACGAGTTAGAACAGCTGCCTGAACTCAGCCTCCTCCCAGAGGTTCCGGAAAACTGACACATAAAAATGAGCAACAGACAAATACTGAGTTCAACACCCCCTTACCAAAAAACGTCATAATAAAAAGAAACAAGGGACAGAATGCATCTCACAGGCCAGAAGTGCATCCGCAGATGAGGTCAAGGTCATTCAGTGTGCGCCGAGCTGGCATAGTCGTGCAAACAGCAAGCTCAGAGATGGGGGTGCTGGGTGAAGATTTAGAAATAAGAACAAAAGTCATTTCAAAATGAAGACCAGAGTAGGAGCTCAGGAGTGAATAAAAACACATTGTGCCTTTAAAAAAATTGAAGGTGAAAAGGGTCGTTTTAAAATGGAAAAAAATTAAGGATTAAAATGGAGTAAAGAATATTAAAGCTAGCCAAAGAAAATCCAACACATGGCTACGCAGAGTCCCTGAAGAAGAAATCCAAAGCAAAGGAATAGAATAAAGAGTAAAAACTAATTCAAAGAAGCATCCCTGAAGTTTGAAAGCTACACGTTGAAAGAGCAAACGCAGATCTAAGCGCTGGAACCCAGGCGCTCACCAAGGACACGCTCTGTTACAGTCTCTGGACTATAGAGAAAGTGACGGATGCTTCAGGCGTCTTAGCAAAAAGAACCAATGGGAAATAAGGGAAAGTCAAGGAGATTGTCCTGAGACTTTGTCAGTGACATTTTATGCCAGAAGAAAATGGTGTCATATTTATGACACTCAAGGAAAGCAGGTGAGTCAAAGATTCTGTGTTTAGCAAAACTGTCCCCTGTGTCTGTGGGGTGTTCCAACTCTTGTCCCCTGTGTCTGTGGGGTGCTCTAACTCTTGTCCCCTGTGTCTGTGGGGTGCTCCAACTCTTGTCCCCTGTGTCTGTGGGGTGTTCCAACTCTTGTCCCCTGTGTCTGTGGGGTGCTCCAACTCTTGTCCCCTGTGTCTGTGGGGTGCTCCAACTCTTGTCCCCTGTGTCTGTGGGGTGCTCCAACTCTTGTCCTCTGTGTCTGTGAATCAGGATTCTCTGAAGAAGGGAGATGCAGATGTTGCATAGAAAAGGCCAAGTAAAAACCTTAGTCTTGAATTTGTATGGGAAGTTATCAATGTGAATTCATAAGGAATTGATCTTACTGAAAAAAAAAAGCAATGAGCATTTCCAGATTTTCTAACTGAAATACCGTCTCCCACTGGGTTTCTTGGAGAAGCAGCCCCGCAGCCCCTGAGCAGGGAGTGCGGGCGAGGCGCCACGGCGTCTAGTTAGGCTGCCGCTCGGAAGCGCTGTAAAGCCCTCAGAGGACTCGCTTGCCCCGCTTGAAAAGGCTCCTGCTCTCCAAAGGTGGGACAGTTTTAAGTTTAGCCTCAATAAGTATACTCGTTGCAGTAGATTGAAACTTATCAAATATGTTTAAATCCTTGAGCTCATAATTATTATTAGGTCATTAAATAGGAAATGTTCGATTTTGAATCAAAAGTTCAGTTTATTATATCTCAAACAAGAAGCTGTACACTTAATCAGAGTATGTCCCTAAACGATTGACACAGTTTTGCCATCTTAATGGTGGCTTGCTTATGCCAGCAAGGAAGCCTGGGGAGCGAGTGGCGATGAAATTATGAAAGGTGTCTTCCACAGCTTGTTTAGAATTAAATATTTTTCCTTGCAAGAAGTGGTCCAAAGCCTGGAAGGAAGGGGTAGTCGGTTGGTGCGAGGTCTGGTGAATGTGGTGAGTGACAGAGTTTTCAAGTTCAGCTCCCTGTAGTTTGAGCAGCGTTGTTTTTTGTGACATGGTCTTTCAAGAGGTTTGGCCTGTCTCTAGTGACCAGTCTCAGCTGCTTAAGTGCCAACATGCTCGTCGTCTTGTCCAGTTGGTTGCAGCAGACATCCACTATAATCATTTGACCAGGTTTCGTGATGCTGTGGTGGATAATATCAGCGCTGAATCACCATACAGACAACCATTAGCATTTTTTGATGAATATTCAGTTTTGGACCGTGTTTCAGCACTTCATCTTTATCCAAGCATTATGCTGAATGCTTGTCATTGTCAGAAACAATCCATTTTTTCATCACATGTAACAATACAGTGCAGAAATGGCTCAATTTTATGTCTTGACAGCAAAGAAAGGCAAGCTTCGAGATGATTTCTCTTCTGACACCCATTTAATTCATGTGGAACCATCTGTCCAGCTTTATTTACCTTGCTGATTTGTTTCAAATGGTTCAATATTGTTGGAGTAGTAACGTCAAACCTTGTTGCTAATTCTCGAGTAGGTTGAGATGGATTCTCTTCCACTGCAGCTCTCAGCTCATCCTTATCCACCTTGGTCTCAGATCACCCTGGTTGCTCATTTTCAAGATTAAAATCGCCAGAATGGAACTTGTCAAACCACTGATGCATTATGTGCTCATTAGCCGCATCCTTCCCAAACACTTTGATGATATTTCAAGCTGTCTGCGCTGCATTGATTCCATGATGGAAATCATATTTAAAAATAACATATATTTTTGACTTACCCATGTTCACAAAAATTACTCTAACAAAAAAAAAAAATTGAAAGATGATCACAAGCCAAAACTTGTGTGTTTGAAAAAACAAGGATGTACCTTCACAGTAAAACAAAGAAAAACAAAACAAAAAACACACACAAGAAATGTCAAAGTGAAATGTCAGATATCAGCTGTCAAATTTGGTACTTAATAACCTAATGAGGAAGGAAGGCCTCTGGTCAGTCTGGTGGAATATTGTAAGGAAAAGCCAGAGGCACGGGGACCTGTGGACGCAGCAAGACTTGCAGACATGCCCAGTCAAAGACTGGCGACAGAGTGTTGTGCCTGCGGATGCACCCTTGGGTGACAGAGCCATGGAGAAATGCAGGAAACCAATTCATTATCTTGAAAAATAGGCAAATAAGGAAAAATGAGCATCTTATCCTGCCATTGCTGCATGAAATTTATCACTGAGTGCCACCTAGCAGATGATGGGAAGTGTCTCTAGACTTTATTTCAGCTGTTAAGGCAGGAGCGGCAGGAGAACTGTACCATTCCGCAGCCCCAGTCTATCAGTGGATCTGGGTGTTTAGTGGCAGTGGCTGTCGGCATCACAGAAAGAAACAGCAGAAGCTGTCACGTGCATGTGGTGACTGCCCAGGGCACCGCCCCCAGGATGAAGGCTGGGCTGGCCCTGGTCCCAGCGAGCATCGGGGTCCAGCTGCTGACAGGCAGGTGGTACGGGGGCTAGAGGCACCTGCTAGTTGAACTCTGAATGGAGCATGCAGTTGGCAAGATCCAGACAGGCTCTTGGGAAAAGTTACAAGGAAAAGCAAGGGGTACAGGGGAGCCTGTGGATGCAGAGAGACTTGGAGACGTACCTAGTTGAAGAGTAAGGACCAAAGTGCCAAGCCCGGGGATGCATCCTTGGGTAATAAAGCTTGTGAAGAAATGCAGGGCACAGTTAGGACCCAAGTCGGAGTGGTGGTGACAGCCGGGGGTGGGGAGGGGCTGTGGCGGGACAGGGCCTGATCCTGGCCTCGCTCTGTCTTGCTGTCCTCAGCTCCTGCTAGAAGGGGGATGTCAGTGAACCTGCAGCTCCCTGGGCCAGAGGTTTTGCCTGGGAGGATCTAGAGGGGAGGCCCTTCCCTGCCCCCGAACACCCTCAGGGACCAGAGCGAATCCTCGTTTGGTGAGAGAAGGACAGGACAGCATCTGCCATGGGATTACGTGCGGTAATCCACAGATGTGTTTAGCATAGGGCCGGTGTCTGGGGACACTGCCCTCCCCGAGGGTAGCTGCTGTTGTCATCAGAGCGGTTGTCCTAACTTCTGTTTTTATTGAGTGGGTACTTTGTGCTTCTCACCGTGCCCTCCTCTTCCTGGGAATTGGTCGGATCCTTTGAAAGATACCTCCGGGGTGGTTGTCAGCCTCCTCTCCTTTGAGGAGGTGAGGCTGAGGGGCTGGGCAGCCTGTCTTTGCCTGTGAGGTGCAGACTCAAACGCAAGTGTAGAGAAGCGCAGGCGCAGTGAGGCGCAGTCCCAGTCCTGGGCCTGGCTGGCAGAGATTCTGCAGGAGGTGGTTTGCGCAGGGCCTAGGGCCGTGCAAGATGCAAAAGAGCCCTGCCTTTGGAGGGATTGGCCACGGACAGTGTTGGACACCTCCTTAGAGAGCAGTAGTGCATGAGGGGACCAGAGTTGCAGGGCGGCCAGGCAGCACACCCCTCACGCCCTGCTCACCGCCAAGCTTCCTTCTGGAGGCAGGAGCCCCTTCGCACTCCGGGTTTCTCTGCCGGATTCTAGGCGAGGCGCTCGTGCGGTTGCTTTGCCAGTGTCCCCAGATCTGAGGGAGGCGAGCCTTTGCTCCCACAGCGCTCCTCTCCCCGTGCCCTCCATCCGCCAGCCCCAGTTTAGTTACTGCTGCATCACAGGTTCTGATTGTCTGTATTCAGGATTCATGTCATTGCAACTGTGAACACCACTCACCTGATTCGTGGGTACATCCTTACACTTTCTTTCATGGCAGCTTTGCAAACAAAGTAGTTATTTTAATTAAAGGAGTATGGGCACTTGTAAGGGGCAGAATGTAGCTCAGTTACAGACCTAAGCAGGTCTCCTGCCTGTCCCCTTCTCCAGTCACACAGCAGATAGCTCCTGATGTCTGTTTTTATTCTCTTTCTGTATGTCCAAGTGATGAGCTCAGAACTCAGAACTTCCTGGTTGATTTTGGCAATGGAATAGGCTCTGTGCCGTCTCTTCAGAAGCCTCCCCACCCCCTGCTCCTTCTACCTGGATTCTTCTGCCCAGGTGATTCAAGGGCCATATTCTAGAACTCAGTGTCGATTCTCAAACTCTAGCGTGCAGCAGAATCCCCTGGTGGACTTGGCCAAGCACAGGCACTGAGCCCACACAGAGCTGCTGATTCTGTGAGTGTCAGTGAGACCTGAGTGTTTCTAGTAAGTTCTCTGGTGACTCTGCTGCTACTGGTCCTAGGATCTCACTTTGAGGAGCCCTCCCCTGGGGCGTGGGGTGCCATATGTGGGCAGAGTGTTGTCATTTGACCCTGAGTGGCTGTTTCTTGGAGCCAGATGGCTCATATACACCTTGATGTTGCCACTTTCTGGTTGTGTAACTGTGGGCAGTGACTCAGCTTCCTGGTGCCTCAGTTTCTCACCTGTAAAGACAAAATTTCATAGCACCCACCTTGCGAGGACTTTACTTCTAAGGGCAGAGCACCATCCTTGGACTGTCATAACCCTTTATGTGTTTGCCACATTATTTCAGACGGTATTTGAGCTCTTCGTGCTACGTGTTGGGACAGACACCCACATTATAGAGCTTACAGTCTAGTGGGGGAGGTAACTTATTCCTGCTTTGAAGGAAACCTGCAGGGTGCCCCTGGGGTGTTTGAGCAGGTGGGGTCACAGATTGGCCTTTTGAGGCCCTGTGCCTGATTATATAGCTCTGGGCCAGGCCCCAGGAAGAGAGTGGATGTGGTGGAAAGTGCACACAGGCCAGTTGGAAGAGCTGGGGAGTTGTGAGAAGGTTCTCTCCCTCCCCGGGAGGCCACTCGGCAGGCAGGCGTGGTGCAGAGGCATGGTGTGTTGGGCTTTGTTGGGCTGCTGTAGAAGGGGGTGGTGTCCTCCAAGTGCAGATGTGGTGACCAAGTCTTGTGTCCCTTAATTGTACCCCCGCCCCCACCAGACAGGATCCCCCCCATCCGGGAGCCAATGTTAGTGCATCTGTGATAGAGGCCACTTTCCGTGGGGTTTTACTCCCAGGTAATGGGCTGGGGGGCAGGCACCCATCCTAGTCCCATTAACTTGGTCTGGTTTCCACTCCTCTTCCCTGTTCTCCACCCTGCAGCCAGGACTGCCTTCCTAGAGCCCAGATGTGACACCAGCATGTGGCCGCATTCAGGTCTGGCCCTGCAGCCCCTCCCCAGTGGGCCTTTGCTTGGGTGTGCTCTCCCTGCCCCCAGCCTGGGGCTTTGGGTTTCAGGTGTCATTGCTTCCAGGGAACTCTTTCCCTGAACCTCCATCCCTCACCTGGGTCCTTTGTGGAGGCCCCTCTGTGTGCCAGGCCTTGCTCTAGGTGTCGGGAGGAACATCAGTGGGCAGAAAGTCCTGTCACTCACGGGCTCGGGTCGTAGTGGGGGAGAAGGGTGATGAACAGAAATACTTAGTGAAATGCGAGGAGCGATCACTGCTCAAAGGAATAGGGTAGAGTAATGCACCCCCTGCGGCGGGTGGGTGAGGGGAGCCTAGAGCCGCTCGGCGGGCGCGTGACCCAAGGGCATGCGTGGCTGGTGGAGGAGCCGGGCACATGGGTGTGTGGGTGGGCCCCATGGAGCCTCTGCCTCTGACTGCCTCCCCCGCCCTCTTGCCTTCCAGTGGACATCCTCATCATGGATGATGACGACGTCCCCAGCTGGCCTCCAACCAAGCTCTCCCCGCCCCAGTCCGCACCCCCAGCCGGCCCTCCACCCCGGCCGCGGCCGCCCGCCCCCTACATCTGCAACGAGTGTGGCAAGAGCTTCAGCCACTGGTCAAAGCTGACGCGGCACCAGCGCACGCACACGGGCGAGCGGCCCAACGCCTGCAGCGACTGCGGCAAGACCTTCTCGCAGAGCTCGCACCTGGTGCAGCACCGGCGCATCCACACGGGCGAGAAGCCGTATGCCTGCTCCGAGTGCGGCAAGCGCTTCAGCTGGAGCTCCAACCTCATGCAGCACCAGCGCATCCACACGGGCGAGAAGCCCTACACTTGCCCCGACTGCGGCCGCAGCTTCACGCAGAGCAAGAGCCTGGCCAAGCACCGGCGCTCGCACAGTGGCCTCAAGCCCTTCGTGTGCCCGCGCTGTGGCCGTGGCTTCAGCCAGCCCAAGAGCCTGGCGCGCCACTTGCGGCTGCACCCTGAGCTGTCGGGGCCGGGCGTGGCAGCCAAGGTGCTGGCGGCCAGTGTCCGCCGGGCCAAGGCGCCCGAGGAGGCGGCGGCTGCGGACGGCGAGATCGCCATCCCAGTAGGCGACGGCGAGGGCATTATCGTGGTGGGCGCGCCGGGCGAGGGGGCCACGGCGGCCGTAGCCATGGCAGGCGCAGGGGCCAAGGTGGCCGGGCCCCGGTCGCGGCGTGCCCCGGCCCCCAAGCCGTACGTGTGCATGGAATGTGGGAAGGGCTTTGGGCACGGGGCAGGGCTTCTGGCTCACCAGCGGGCCCAGCACGGGGACGGGCTTGGGGCGGCAGGCGGCGAGGAGCCTGCCCACATCTGCGTGGAGTGCGGGGAGGGCTTCGTGCAGGGCGCCGCGCTCCGGAGACACAAGAAGATCCATGCCGTGGGTGCGCCCTCGGTCTGCAGCAACTGCGGACAGAGCTACTACCCGGCTGGCGGGGAGGAGGAGGAGGAGGAGGAGGACGCAGCGGGCGGGCGGTGCGCTGAGTGCAGGGGTGGGGAGGGCCGGTAGGGGCGGGGGAGCCCGGGGGTGTTGGGGTAGGGCCCTCGGGCTTGGCTGGAACTACAACGTCCAAGACCCAGAGATGGACAGGGGGTGGGACGGACCTCAGCTCCCCGCTTCCCCCAACGCTGTCCACGTGGTGCACTGGGGTCAGGTGGGGTGGTAGGGCAAGTTCACGTCACCTCAAGACTTTGCCAGCCCTGCCCGAGCCCTGCCCTACAGCCTTGCCTGCCTCCCTAGGTTTATGGGCCCGGAGCCAGAGACGATGTGAGAACTGTAGAGGCCAGAGGCCGTTTCCCTCTCGTTTCTCCCACCACCCGGTGATGGAGGTGTTGCAAGGAATGGAGAGAGAAACTGGGCCTTTTGCATTTAGAGGGGTCCTGGAGAGGGAAGGGAAGTAGCGGCCCTTTTCTCTTTTAGAATTTTCTTTTAATCATACCCACCTTCCTGACCCCTCCCATTCATTGTTTTTTTCTGCCCTGTGGGTTCCATCTTTTTTTTTTTTTTCTAGCCGACGTCCTTCCTCCCCCTCCTGGATTTGGGTAGTGGAGGAGTGAAGCAGAACTAGCCCTACTCCAAGTGCAGCCCTTCCCAAGGGCACGTGCCCTTCTCCGTTCCCTGGCCTGGCGCGGTTGGCGAGGGTGCGGGGGCAATAAAGCGCACTGTTCAGCAGTCCCGCTGCGTGGTTCTTGAGTCTGGGAGGGAGAATAGCAGGAGGTGGGGGCCCACGGGGCGGTGCAGCAGCAGTGCCGGCCGGCCGGCCGCCCGGGCGGTGGGCAGAGGCAGCCGGCCCTGCGCCTCTGCGGGAAGGGTGACCCGCCGGGCCTCGGGGGCAGCTGCATCTGCGCAGTGTCCTCCCCGTGGGGCGGCTTGGCCCTCATGGGTCGGGGCAGGAGGACTACGGTGAGAGGGCCGGCGACCTCAGCCGTTTGCGGGGCAGGCAGCTTTCCTTCACCTTGCCCGCAGACACCCTCCTCCTGCCTCCAGCTTGCGGGCTAACTTGGCCTGTTGGGGGCACACGGCACCCCACTCTGCTGTCACCCGGGCTAGTCACGTGGTTTCGCTGGAAGGAGGCTGGAACCTCAGGTGAAAACCAGCCCACAGCTGCCTCTGCTGCAGGCACTGCTGCAGGCAGGTGTCCTTGCCTGGCGACACAGTCCCCGAGTCCTGCAGTGGTCCCGCGAGGTGGGGCTGTTGCCGGTTCATAAACCAGAAGGGGCCTCTGAGGCCCGTTCTGGTTTTCTGAAACCCACATCCCAAGTCCTGAGGACCAGTGTTCCTGGGGTCTCGGAGGCTGCAGTGAGGCCCCCAAAGGGGTATTTTCAGGCCGGCTGCACAGCCCTGACAATGTGGGTGGTGATCGGAGGAGGAGACTGCGGTAGTGGAGTGGAGGTTGAGGAGCAAGTGGGATTTCTAGTCTGAGCCCCAAATCTGCCCCACAGGCCCTGACGTGCGCCCGGCAGATTAGCCCCCTGGGGGCTTCGGAAATCAGGGCCAGGGATGGCCGACTGGTGGGCCGGGCGTGGCTCCCAGGAGCACTTACCAGAACTGGGAATGATTGTAGGTCAGAAAAGGGTACTCCCAAGTGGCCTTGCCTTGCTGGGTTAATTGGTATTGCTGTTCAGTTTATTTTGAAATTTCAGGTCACTTTAAAGGAGGGGTAAAACTTTGTCTTTTGTTTGGCGCGGCCACAGGTTAGCAGAGATTGAGAGAACGTTGCTCAGTGCCCTAGGTCCCTTCTGCAGCTGCTGACGTTGGGCGTTTTGGAGGCCTGGGGCAGGATGGTGGGTGCCTGTCACTCCGATAGAGGGAGCGGCTGGGTGTCCTGGCCCAGGAAGTGGTGGCAGGAGCCGACGCCCAGAGAAAGACTCAGGGCCAGGTTCCACCCTGCCACTCAGGGCTGTGTGTCCTTGCGCCCTAACCTCTCTGACCCTCAGTTTCCTTCCCTGTGGAGGAGAGTGGGGCTCAGTCCTTCAGTCCTGCCTTTCCAGGCAGGAGTGTGACACGGCTGAGCAGCCAGGGCTCCCCACTGCACTCAGCCACGTGAAGTCAAAGAAGCTAACGTGACCACACACTGAGACTTTTCAGTGCTGGAAAACATCAGCCTCACCGGACCAGGCACCTGATGTGTGCTTTGGTGTCACTTGGTGTCATTCATCAATTCATGCATTCAGGCGGCCAATCACCTGCCCTCACTCACGTATTCAGCAGATGTTTTTTGAATACCAGCTTCGTACCTGTCAGGTGCTACGTTGGGTGCTCAGGCGAAGAAAGGAAGGCCCCTCTCTCCTCGTGGGACTTGCCGTTGGCCTCACGGTCCGCCCGCACTGCAGCCTCACACACTGCGCAGGTGAAGCTGGGCGATCTTTACTGAGCACTGTGTAGTGGCAGCAGCCCTGCTAAGCGGGCACACGGCAGTGACCTCGAAGGCACAGTCTCTGCCCTTGTGGAGGGTGGAGGGACGTGCAGGCAGTGCCAGGTGTGGGGAGGTGTGGCAGGCAGACCGACCAGAGGAGGGGCCTCCACTCAACTTACCGCCCAGTCTGAAGGCGCCATTCATCTGGGGATGTTTCTTCCTTGTATCCCCCTTTCCCAAAGGGTGTCCTGGAGAGTGTAGGTTCTAGGGACTGTTAATAATATGTTTGCAGAAAAGAGGGTTCTGGGTCCAGGTAACTTGGGAAAATACTGGTTAAGTTTTCTAATACAGAGAACAGTGCTTGGCATGTGGAAGGTGCTGAGTCAAGATTTTGTTGATGGGATCAGTTATAAAATAAGCCCCTCCCCCTATAGCATTTTTTTTTTTTTTTGAGACAGAGTCTCATTTTGTTGCCTTGGCTAGAGTGAGTGCTGTGGTGTCAGCCTAGCTCACAGCAACCTCAAACTCCTGGGCTTAAGCAATCCTGCTTCAGCTTCCCAAGTAGGTGGGATTACAGGCATGCTCCACCATGCCCGGCTAATTTTTTTTCTATATATTTTTAGCTGTCCAAGTAATTTTCTATTTTTAGTAGAGATGGGGTCTCGCTCTGACTCAGGTCTTGAACTCTTGAGGTCAAACGAATCCTCCCGCCTCGGCCTCCCAGAGTGCTAGGATTACAGGCGTGAGCCACCTCGCCCCGCCCCCCTATAGCTTTTTCTTTTAGCGTATTATGGGGGTACAAGTGTTAAGGTTACTTATATTGCCCATGCCCCCCCTATAACTTTTAATTGTGAGTCTACACACCCTGGTGGAGGAGGGGGCTGGGATAGGTTATAGCATGCAGCATTTTCTGAACTTAGTCATGAAACCTGTCATTCATACAGCATCCTTAGAGAAGTGCCTGTGTGTAAGGTGTGCGTGCATGTGTGTGCATGTCTCTGGTGAGTGTGTGTGTGTGTATCTTTGTATGTCTGTGTATGTGTACATGTGTCTGTGTATATGTGTACATGTGTGTGTATGTCTATGTGTCTATATCTTTGTGCCTATGTATATTTGTGCATGTGTGCATGTCTGTGTCTGTGTGTCTCTGTGTAGGTGGTAAACATCCACCCATCCTTCTCTTCTTACCTCTCCAACAGGTTGTGGGTGGGGGGGAGTTGTCTCTGGCTTCAGTGATTTCATCTCTCATGCCTCGATGGATAAAAGTCCATCTGCAGATTCCCCATCTTCTAGTGCCTTGGGGTGGGGTGGGGGTGTTCAAGTCCTTCAGCGCCATTGACAGGACCCGCCTCCCCCTCCCCCACCCTGCCCCCGCTGGGTCTCAGGGTGGAGCACAGCCCTGCGATCTGCGTGCATTATTTTCTGAAGCCTGTCAAGCACCTCACCGGGAGGGTGTTGTCCCCATTCTATGGGTAAGGGACAAGGTTCGGGTAGTGAGGAGCAGAGCTTCGTGGTCCAGATCTGTTGCCAGCACTCACGCTGGCCTATACCTCATGGATGCTTGTGACGTGGGGGTGGCCGCCAGCTATGAGAGCAAACAAACTATGTGGGTGGACAGAGCTATTCAGGCTGGGGCTGTGCTGTGCCAGGGGGATTGGGCCAGGAACTGATATGATTAGTCACAAATAAGATTTCTTTTTTTAAAAAAGTAATGGATACTTGGAGGAAAAGATTACTGATTGAATCTTTCTTTTAGACTGACTTCAAGATTTCTTGTTCCTCTCCCTACACTGTCATTTGAAATACTGAGTGAATACACCAGTGGGTTTATAAAATTAATTTATCGAATGGGAGCATGCCCTGCACGCTATTCTGCCATTTGCCTATCTATCTGTCCATGCGTATGTATCTATCACCTATTCATGTATCTGTCAGTCATCATACCTAATATATCATCTGTCATTCATCTGTCATCTATGTATATATGTCATCACCAGCATCATCTATTATCTATTTACATAGTTAATATGTATCTGTCAGTTATCTACTTATTACCTACCTATATACTATGTATCTGTGTCATCTATGTACTATGTAGCTGTCACTTATTTGTCATCTATATCATCTGTGCATCTATCAGCTATCCATCTACCTATCTAGGGATCTGTCTGTGGTTTTTCCAGAAGGCCTATATACATCTGTCTTATTTAAAAAAAAAACCACATTTTCTTTTGAAACAGGGTCTCACTCAGGCTAGAGTACTGTGGCATCATCATAGGTCACTGCAGCCTCAAACTTCTGGGCTCTAGTGATCCTCTCACCTCAGCTTCCTGAATATCTGGGACTATAGGCACATGCCACTACACCCAGCTAATTTTTCTATTTTTTGTCGAAATGGAGTCTTGCTGTTTTGCCTGGACTGGTCTCAAACTCTTGGGCTCAAGCAATCCTCCCACCTCGGCCTCCCAAAGTGCTGGGATTATAGGTGTGAGCTACTGCACCCAGCCTACTTTAAAAATATTCTCAAGACATTCCACTGTGTGGCTATACTGTTTTATTTAATTCCTGGTTGATGCTCAGTTAACTTGTTTCTAGTCTGCTACTGTAACAATGCTGCAGCAAGAATCTTTCTACTTGTCTCGGCAGCTGCAGAAGGGGGATGTGCATTTGAATTCTGACAGATAAGGCTGCCTCAGCCTCCGCCGAGGTCAGACCGGCTCCGCCTGCCCTCCCCAGGGAGCGTTTTGACGTGGCTGACATCTGAGAGACGCTGGGCAGAGGTGACGGCAGCGTGATGTGCGCCCGCTATGTGCTTGGTGCTTCACAAACATCACCCACAATCCTCCACGGGGCAGGTGGAGCAGCAGACCCAGACAGGTGAAGAGACTGACCCTAAGACTTACAAGGAGACACAGAAAGCAGAGTTTCAGCCACTGGGCTTTGCCCCATGCTGTGTAGACACGGCTGGATCTTGTTAACCACAGAGGAGCAAGCGGGGGCTCGGAGAACTGGAGCCACTCACGCTGGATCACAGGCTGTGGAAGTGAGCGAGCCTGGACTCAAGCTCAGGACGGTCCAGACCCGGCCTGTGCCTCCGCGACTGTCCATCCACCCTGCAGTGTGCGTCGTCCATTCTGCCTGCGTTTGCTGCCTGCCCACCATGGGTCAGTTCCTGCCATAGTGGGGGCAGGACACACAGGGTCCCTGCCCCAGGGATAGGTGCTGCTGCCTTCAGACTGGGCAGTAAGTTGGGCAGAGGCCCCTTCCTCTTGCCCTGCGTCTGCCTGTCACACCATCCCCTGGACCGTGTCCCCATGC